ATGCCGTCTTCTGCTTGAAAAAAAAAAAAAAGAGGGAGAAGAAGCGATTTCTTTAAGTGAATTTTAACAGTTTGCCAGTGTGATTCTAACTTAAATATTTAAATACATGGTTTGGGGTCTTCATTTATACTCTTGTCCAAATATGCATTTAAGTGTTAATTCAAATTTATAACTACCCTAAATTTCTCTCAGTCCCTCGCTCCACCTCCTTCAAATTCCTCCCTGCATGCAGCCCATCCCCCAAGTTCTTCCCAGAGAACACAGTGTTCAGCAGGCTTGTTTAGCAAACAAGGCATGAATTGTCTCTGACAACTCAAGTTCTGGACCAGAACACATTAAAACTCATCTGTTTGGGAAACTCAAACTCTTAGCCTTCTTAGAGTCCCACTTTCCTTTATAGATGTGGGAAGCAGTCAGATTAAGGACATCTGCCAAAACCCTTCAGAGAAGATAGAGAAGTAGGCCCACCTAGAGTCCAATTGTCTAGATTCTAAAAAACTGGGTGAAACAGATACCTGGAGGCAGTGTTTAAGTTCACAGGGAGATAAGAGATCAAAACGGGGAGTGAATGACCTCTCTTGCCTTTACTTTTACTAAAAAGGAATTCAGAGGAGAAAGCAAGCTGACAGCATACTGTTGAAAGAAACTAAAGATCTGTCTCCTATAAATAAAAGACTTTCAGATCTGCCAGGCGAACAGGTGAGTCAGTGAAGTTATCAATGCGCATGGCCCCGGCTTCTAAAATAAAACTAGCTGCCTTTGGAAAAATACATTATTTGGTGAGATATTTTAAATCATTTTTTTTGAACTAATACTATAGTCTTAAACTTTAAATCCTTAAAATCAAGTTACTCCCCCCGGCTCAGATGTAGTTCATCAACACAGGCAAGTGGAATAGTCAGAGCATCACAGAATGAAAGAAAAGTAAAAATTAGTTCAATGACAACTGTAATAACGACCATGGTATTTCCAACAATAACAAGGGATGATTCTTTATGATGCTTTAGAAGCTAAAAAGGTCAAGAAACACTGTGGTTTATTTTTTCAAATATCTATTAGCTATGTACACACACAGACTGCCAGGGCTAAAAAAAGTTGCTTTAAAGTGGATGCATCTTCTGTCGTTGTCAATTATTAAAACTGAGAATAGAAGGAGCCTTTGAAGTCATTTTTTCATTTCCCAAGCTCATAGATAATGAAAAAACCATTTTTATTAAAGAGTTTAGTCTCTAGGTAGGCATCAGTTTCTAGTAATCCTAAGTCACAGGTCAGAGAATGGCCTCGGAGTAGGGCATTTTCTGGCAACGGAGAACAGTGACTAGTTCGGATACTGGGCGCACTACAGTGAAACCCATTCAGCACAGCCCGGTACCCCTAAACTACCCAACAAACTGAGAGGGCTGACTTCATTTTCCAGGACAAGCAATATGCTTCCAGGGGAGAGCTAGAGCTCACGTCCATCTGCTCTGTAACGGAGCTCCGGGTAGGTAAATGAAGTCCAGACAACATTTATCCAGAGCCTAACAGAAGAAGTAACCTTAGTTCATTCTTCAATGAAGTAAACGTGGTACAAGGCTACACCCCACAGCTGGCAATTGGTATTGTGGGCATCTAGGGTTCAGAACCGATTTAAACTAAAACCACAAGACGTACTTTTGTTTTATAAAACCACGTGTCAGAAAAGTACAACTAAACACATCTGATCATAATGAGAGAAAACTCCAATTCTGTGTATTTACAAAGAAAGCTTGAAGAATCTTTTAAAAGTATGTACCCTGGGCCCTCCCTGGTGGCGCAGCGGGTTAAAGCACTGTTTTGAGA